CTTCTTCCAGGATTCTCTTTCAGAGTTGTTAATTGCTTTTTTATATTCGGACAAGGCGTATTCATCCCACCTTCCTGTCTTTATCACACTATTGAATTTATTTCTCACTAGTTAATCTTGGAAGTTCTTAGTTCCACCAGACACATTCCTTATTCCTTGTGATAAGGGGACAGTTGTTATTGAACGCTGAGGTGATTATGTCATTGAATTAACCTTATGGAGCTAGATGATTTTCTGGATTATGTGTACAATAATGCCGAATCGACCGTAAAGTTCACTCTAAATATTGAGCCTGATAATCAGTTGTCAACTAGTCATTGACTAAATAAGGGACATACAGACATACATACCATTTATAGATTATTATTAAATAATCAAACAACGTCTTCGTAACAAGTGTGTATCGTAAAAAGGCTCATATTAACAGTGAAAGTTGAGGTATAAGTACTGTCAATCAGATGATCAGAAAGATGAGTAAACATTCAATATTTTTTCGATGAATCTATATTCCTCATCTCCAAATATTTTTGGAAACGATGAGTTACTGATTCAAACGATTGATTTCTTGTAAGAAAATTTTTAAACGCAGTGATATTTTTGGGCAAATCACCCGATTTCTCCTCATTACACGTATACATTGAAATATTACTCAAATCATTACCTATTTCGTGGAAACGAGGAGACAAATTCCCAGAAAATCTAGAAGAAATTTACCTCAGTCGAAGAAATTATATTATTCATTTGAGAAAAGCAATGTACTATATTCAAGAATGATCATGCAGAATTACGAAATATACACTCATTTATGATAATTCTCAGTGAATGAATATATTTTCTTGAAATAAGATATCCTTTTCATGTGAACAGGCTATTTCAGTAATATATCACCCAGTAACTCATATTGGGAGTAATGAATCGCCGTATCGTTTGATACCATTGTAACCAATTCCGGCGTTCCACAAGGATCAATCTTGGAGCGACCACTTGAGCTAGCCACAGCTTCGCAGACAATAGTACTCTCCATACTGCTATATCTTCTAGAATTCCCATTTCTTCCCAGGAAACTAAGAACTTGCGACGAAGGCAGGCCAACGCTATCTATGAAGATCTTGCAGAAATTATACAGCCTGGGGAATCAACAACCTAGTTGAATTCAACTTCATAAAAACGCAAGTCTGTATTTCCTCTAGAAAGGCGGAACTCAGTATGCCTGATATAACAATGTCTGATTCCACCATTCTCAATGGATCGCTTGTCTGGTGGCCTAAGACTGAACAGAGATCAGCTATAATGGAGCTTTCAAAACCCAAGAGCTGCTATGGAAACCATACTCAATATTCCACCTGTTGAAACCTTCATCAAGGCGGAAGCGAGGATGGAGGCACACAGACTGGAGTGTAGTGGTAACTGGCATGCTCGGGGTGACTCCCTGGGACATACAAAAATAATCAGCCTAGTTTCAAGCCCACTAATGGAAATGGGAAGTGACAAAATGCTGCCTAGAAATAACTATTACAGACCCTTCAACACTCAGCTCTACTGGGATGAAATGGTCTTGACTAACTGTCAGGAAGGCACATTAGTGTGGTACACTGACGGTTCTAAGACTGATGAGGGCACGGGAGCCGGAATATATGGAGATAGACCCAGAACCAGGATGTGTGCTTCCTTGGGGAGGTATGCTTCAATATTCCAGGCAGAGGTGCATGCTATTGAGGCATGCCTGAGAGAAAATATTGTAAGAGGATACAGAGGTGAACAAATCCTCATATGCTCAAATAGTCAGGCGGCCATTCAATCCTCAACATGCAATTAAATCAGATCAAAACTGGTCTGGGATTGCCTTCAAAGCCTGCTAACCCTGGCTAACCACAACAAGGTAACTCTTCAATGGGTGCCAAGGCATAAGGGAATTAAAGGCAATGAAGCAGCTGACGCTCTTGCCAGGCAAGGGTCTGCGGCGTTGATTATGGGACCGGAACCTGTGTTCGGTATCCCCAAAACCTCCATACGTGGCTGGCTGGCAAGGTGGATGCAAGAAAGGCATCAGACATACTGGAACAATGTCCCAGGACAAAGATACAGTAAACTGCTGGTTGGAGCACTGTCCAAAACAGTGACTAACGACATTCTGAGCCTAAACAGAAGTCAGATCAAACAAGTGACGGGACTAATAACCGGTCACTGCCCCTTGGGGTAACATATGCATCAAATGAGCATCTATACAGACGAGCCCATATGCAGACTATGCAATGAGGAGAAGGAAACTGCCACCCATGTAATATTGGAGTGCAAAGCACTAGCGCGTTGAAGATACAACCTTCTGAATGATTTGGTAAAGAGACTGCTAAACCTTATCAAGGTAGCAAACCTGTTCACCTAAGTCAACAGCATGATCAGGAATACAATAGGCCCAAAGGCTGCAGTGTTTTGGGCTTCGAACCCTGACTGATCATTCTGCTATTAATCAATCAATCAATCAATCATCATTCTCAATACGCTCTCATGGGAAATACATGTTCGATCCATCGAAAAGCTGCTTCAAAGAAACTCAGTTGCTTGTTCCGTGCGAAAATCTACTCGTGGACCTCATTAGAACACCGTCGAAAAGTCGGCGACCTTTCACTTTTCTATAGATACTTCCACGAAAAATGTTCCTAAGAATCTCTGCTATCATTCCATCACTAGCTATACCATTCAGACAAACCCCTATTTATCAACGAAATTTGATTTTGTGTTTTGAAGTTTTTTTTCAGATATTCGCTTCGGATCGCTGTCTTCTGATGAATGCCCTATAATAGCCTGAATGGCCAATAGCCCGAAACAGCTCTGTAGGTGGTTATACGGTACCTTCAATTCAAGCACGGGAAAAAAACACTCTTGCAATGACCATTCAGTATTCGTTCATACGATTCATGGATTGGCATTCACATTCATATTCATTGCATAGATTAAAATAGAAAGATATATTCTATCTGGAATTCACTGTACAGGGTGGGCCAAATTGGATACTTTTAAAGGGAAAGTCTTATTCTCGAACTAGATGGAAGAAAACTGATGTCGGTGCCTGAGGGTCGATTCTCATGAAAAACTCAATGGTGAAATTCGCATTTCGATATCCGTCTTCGTTTCGGAGTTACAAGGTGTTTTTCGAAAATGGACATTTTTTTAAAGTGGCCACAGATATTTTTTTCGGCAAAAATTATCTGTTCTCATGGAAATAACTGCAAAGCATTGAGTTTGTGAAAAAATTATTCTCGAGGCACTGAAATCGGCCTTCCTATATCTAGTTCAAGAATATAGCTTGTTCATTTTGAAAGAGAAGTTCTATTTCGCAACTAGGTATATGGTGAGTGATTTCAGTGCCTGAGGATCAATTTTCATGACGAACACAATGCTTTGAAAATGTTTTCATCAAAACGAAGAATTTTTGCCAAAAAAAAAGTTTTAGTCCCTTTTCAAAAATGCACGTTTTTGAAAAAATTAAGATAGATATCGGTATGCGGTTTTCACTTTCGATTTTGTCATGTGAATTAATCAACAGGCACGGACATCAGGTTTTTCTATCTTATACGGGAATAGGATTTTCCCTTTAAAAGTGCCCAATTCGGCCCACCCTGTACATTTGTAATTCAAGCATAAGCCACTGAATTGCTATGCGTACTTGCCCTACTGCAGCAATGGAAGCTATATGCTTGACCTACTACCCTTGCATATTTTTATCAAGAGGACTGCAGCTCTCAGTGCATACAGACTGAACTCCACTGAATTGGCCAGACCAGGTGATGTCACTGGTCACATGGTCATTCTACAAGAAGTACAAATGGAATTTGCAACCAAACCATCGGACATCATGCCAGCCAGGCTCAGTTTCGAGCATACCTTTGGAGTGGTTATAAAAAGCCGCCCTAGGTACGGTTCCGCTGAGCATCAGCTGGACAGAGGGTCCCTTGTTTGGTACACCGATGGTTCGAAAAGAAGGGGTAGGCGCGGGTGTATGTGGACCCGGATGTAGGCTATTTGAAGCCTTAGGTCACTCCCCCACTATCTTCCAAGCTGAAATACATGCCATCAACCTTTGCGCCCAAAGGTGCCTGAGCAAAGGTCTGAGGGGTGCCAACATATATATCTGCTCAGACAGCCAAGCCGCACTAAAAGCCCTAAAATCATTCGTTTTCACATCAAACATCACATGGGACTGCTATGGAACACTCATGCAACTGGGAAGGGACAACAAAGTCACACTTGTGTGGATTCCAGGACATGAAGGAATCCAAGGAAATGAGACAGCTGATCGCCTTGCAAAAAAAGGTGCAGCATCTGAACTTTTTGGTCCTGAGCCTTTTTGTGGGATAAGCAAATGTCACCTAGAGGGCGAACTCAGGAAATGGGAAGGAATTGAAAAGTCCTCCTACTGGAGAGCAACTCCAGGTCAACGACAAGCGAAAAGGTTCATCAACCATTCGCAGAACCGAGCCAAAGAGCTACTCAGCCTCAGCAAACCAGAGCTAAAACTGATCACAGGCTTTCTCACAGGACACGGCCCTCTGAGGTACCACCTCAAAAAGATGGGCCTGGCGGAGACTGACACTTGCCGCTTTTGTAACAATGCGACCGAAACCGTGAAACACATACTTTGCTCATGTGAAGTATTAGTCCGCCAAAGGCTCAACCACCTAGAACAGGTCTATCTCACCCCTGCTGAGGTGGAAAATTCAACCGTCAGGAAAATTGTAGGCTTCATTAGAAGTCTAGGGTTATAGGACCAAAACTAGATAAGGGTAATCACAATAGATCTTCTAGGTCGCAGTGATCGAGAGGTCTCCCAGCCTATATGACCCATCTACAATCTACAAGCCACTGAATTTAGAAAGATTCATTGATTTAGAAATCGTTATAATGGCATTGGTTTCATTAAATAAAGAAAAACAAAAAACAAAAAATGAGTGCCTTTATAATTTCAGTATATTTTTTTCACTAAAACATTTCTCTTGTTTCAGATGACAATGAATCAATTGTTACAACGATCACAGATAATCCTATAGAAATCAGGGATTTCATGAAGATATGCGATCAGAGGAAGAAATTTCCTGTTCTATATAAATTGGAATTTGAGGTACGTAACGTATAGTGCGAGAACCTGTTGAAATTATGTAGTTTGTTGCATATAGTAAATTTTATTCATAATTCAATATTAACATATTAATATTCAATGAGAAAAGCACAAAGTCATCTCCACAACTTTTTTATTTGAATGCATCAATGTAGGAACATGTTTCGGACATATGCAATGTCCATCTTCAGCCTATGCTGAGAAGTCATGGAAATGAAAAGGTTTTGTTTTAAATTATTGATAAGAAAGGGTTTTTTAAGGGGTCCCATCTCCCAAACATGGAAATCAAATTTTTGAGGACGATGAGGCTCAACAATTTCCATGACTGAAATATGTCCCTAAATTGATGCTTTCAAATGCGTGGAGATGACTTTGTGCTTTTCTCATTGAATATGAACCCTATTACTCCACTTTGAGCTACAATGGACTTCTACCAACTTTAACGTATTTATTACGGAATAAGCTTACCATTTACTATACTGGTTGGCTCAAAGGTAGAAACAAATTCATTTTTTGTAGTATTTCTCCTTCACATTCTGGAAATTGAAAGAGTACATCTTAGCAAATTTAGGCACTAGGTACTTGTATCGAGACATAAAGTAGTACCACAGTTTAAGGAATATAAGTAATATTCCTTAAACTGTGGTAGAACCTACTTCTACTGCCAGTCCTAACATAAAAAAAAAGATTCATCAAACACGATGATTCAACTTCTTCTATTTTGTCTGTGTTCTAACTTGATTCTTGCAGATATTGGTTCATAAAATATTTGGAGGAATTGGAGACAACTGCATGTCTAATAATTTTTATCTGCACTTGAAAATTTGAAAACGCCAACTTGTAGGAAAGAGAAAGTGGCCATGATAAAGTGTCATTAATTTCGAACAATTTATCAAAATATCATGAACAAAGAATGAAACAGGTTTTGGAGCTTTTGTTTTCAGATATCTCCGAAAGTATTCATGATTTCCCAAGTTTCAAAACATTATTTTGATATGCATATATAGAATTGAGCAACTTGATTTACGAGATCCCAATGATGAAGCTCTAATTGCATCTACCCTGTAGATGACTTCCGAGTGCAGATACAAATTATTAGATATGCAGTTTTCTCCAATTCCTTTGAAGATTTTTGGAACCAATATCTGCAGCAATCAAGTTCGAATACAGACGAAATTGAAGAAGTTGAATCATCGTGTTTGAAAAATCTTTTTTTTTTGTTAGGACAGGCAATAGCGGTAGGTTCTACTTTACGGTCTCGATACAAGTACCTACTGCCTAAATTAGCTGAAATTCCTTTTCCAAATTTCCAGGATGTGAAGGAGAAGATAAATATCACGAGAAAAATGGGATTGTTTCTACCATTGAGTCCACTAGTATCCAGTATTATACAGTGCGTCCATAAAGCAACGCATAAATTCATTATTGGCTAAATGAACAATAAAATTAGAAATTCCCGAAACAGGTCGATTTTTGATTTCAATTTACTATTGTTTCAAATCATAATCTAATATACAGGGTGAACCACTTTCGTGTAATGACGTCATCACCATTTTTTTCAAATGGACCCCCTCCTCTTTTTTTCAATTTCCAAATTGCCTTCGCTGAGCTGATTCCAAAAATGTATAATATGTTGCTTCAAATTGGTACAGGGTGGGCAAAAATGCAAAAATTTACTTACAAAGTAATAAAAATAATGAATAAACGTAATAAACACATTAAATGGAATTACGTATTGTTATACAACTACTTTGATATCAAGAACATCCAGCATTATTCTTAATAATTGTATCTTACAGCTTTTATTAGTGATCCAAGCCCGTGGACTATAAAAATCTTTTTGTTTGGCATTATCTTTTACCATTTTTTTAATTTGACAAAACTGTCAAAAACATTGAAGCACAGTTTCGTATTGTTAACGCTTTAGAGAAGGTACGTTCGTATTACTTTCCATAAACAATTTTCATATTTTTTTTTGCATTTTTGCCCACCCTGTACCAATTTGAAGCAACATATTATACATTTTTGGAATCAGCTCAGCAAGGGCAATTCTGAAATTGAAAAAAAAGGGGGTTCCATTTGAAAAAAATGGTGATGACGTCATTACACGAAAGTGGTTCACCCTGTATATTAGATTATGATTTGAAACAATAGTAAATTGAAATGAAAAATCGACCTGTTTTGGGAATTTCTAATTTTATTGTTCATTTAGCCAATAATTAATTTATGCGTTACTTTATGGACGCACTGTACATATAGTACGCCCCTGATTGAAATTTTTAAATTCTGAGCACAAATTCTTATTCAGCATCAAAATGCGATGCGATCTTTTGATGAACGGTTCCGTAATTATTGAGGAAAAACCGTCTTCAGGGTGTCCTATTTGAAGGGATGTAGGAAGCATTTTTCTAATTTATCGGAACTTTTTTTTTCATAAAAATATTTCAGGAATTACCACACCAATTTTTAGGAAACACCCAATACGTAATACACCTACTGATGAAAAATATGTCAACAAACACGCATTTTTTCCTAAGTATGTCCTAGTTGAAAATGTCAAAATTATCAATAAATGATTTCGAACTAAGGATATTTTTATGTCTAAATGAGTTGAAATTTTGTGCTGCTTGCCATTATAATGAATACTTCTAACAATTTGCGCAAAGATATAGTCATCAAACTTCCACTGAACAAAAACAAATATTTTTCAAACATATACAGGGTGTTTCAAAAAAACCTGACCTCCTTACTAGGGTAGGTAGAACACTGCAAAATAAGTTGGGTTTACTCAGTGAAAAAATGTCGTATAACGGCATCCGTTATCAAGATACAAGGTGTTGAAAAAATGATTTTTTACACATTTTTCAAGATTATGTCGAAATTACTGGCGACATTGTAGTGAAATTTTGTATGGATGTTTCTTGGAATCTGACACATCGCATGCATTTGTTTTTATATCTGACTCTCATAGAGGGAGCTAGTTGCACGGTTATTCGTACCGAGTAGTTTTGAACATAACTTTTTCGAGGTTAGATTTTTCAACCCAAATTTGACGTGAACTTGAACATCATTCAATTCCACACCGAGAAGGTACTCTTGGTAAAACTCGACACTGTGGAATTTTTCGATTCGAAAATGATGAAGTGATAACTATTGCTGGTATGAAGCTATGTATTAGAGTGAGTATTATGAAAAATTATCACCTATTTATTGAAAACCGAAAACAACAGTACATTTCTGATGCTCAACTTATTGATTTAACAATGAATCATAAGAATAACATCGAAACAGATTTGACTAAGAACATGGATTACACAATTTTGTTGTATCTTGAGCAGAAAGTCTATGCTACATAGGTAAATTCACGTCAATAGTTGTAAGACATAATTGAACATCACTGAAATGACCTAACAGTTGGAAAGAATATAGAATCGTTTTTTTTTTCGAAACGTAGGACATTTTGAACACTTACTCTAACTGATTCAATATTTCATGTTTCAAGTCAAATATCTCTTGATTTTCTACTTATGATTTTTTGTTTCATCAATAACTTCAGCACAAGAATGATTTTATTGTTTTTGAATATGAATAAATAGGTAATTGAACTCAATAAAATTCATTTTATACCAGCATCAGCTATTACTCCATTATTTTCGAATCGAAATATCCCGAAAACGGATCATAGTATCGAGTTTCACCAAGAGTACCTTTTTGGTGTAAAATTGAATGATGTTCGAGTTCATATCATATTTGGATCGAAAAATATAACCTCAAAAAAGTTATGTTCTAAACTACTACTCGGTACAAACCCTGTAACTAGCGCGCTCTATGAGAGTCAGATATAAAAACAAATTCATGTGATGTGTCAGATTTCAAGAAACATTCATACAAAATTTCAATACAATGTTGCCAGTAGTTTCGACATAATCGTGAAAAATGTGTAAAAAAATATATTTTCCAACACCTTGCATCATGAAAACGAATGCCGTTACGACATTTTTTCACTGAGCAAACCCAACTTATTTTGCAGTGTTCTACCTACCCTAGCAAGGGGGTTAGGTTTTTTGAAACACCCTGTATATCCAGCAAATCGAAAGTGGTCTGACTTTGTCGGCCTCAATCTTCCCCTGTGTTTAATTGAGTTTTTTTGCAGATTGCTATAAAAGTAGAAACACACTCTTGTAAACATGGTACTAAGAAGAGTAATGTAGAGAAAAACCAAAACCAGAGATGCATTCCTTGTAAGTATACCCACTGACATTATAACATACTATAGTATGCTATAGTCTTCTCTAGAGTCATCTTCTCAACCATGATTTAGTTGATATTTTTAATTAGATGAGAAATGACGCCCCTGTATAGCTCATATGTCACTCCATTGAAGAAGCTCAAAGGATAGTTCAGAGAATAACTAGCGTTTCAGGTGACTATTCATCAATTTCCATCAATTTCCAGCCCGGAATCGATTATCCTCCCCATCAGAGATATGTCAAAACCGCGTTGAGTTGTAATTTAAATTGATTCGATGGCTCTTAGTTTGTTGGGTATAGCTTGTGACGAGCACTAAACCAGCTGTCTTTCTAATATAATGGCTTTTCAGTTTCAGTATAGTGGGTGCATAGTCTGTAGCTGACGTCCGTCATTTTGAACTTTGTTTTAGGAAGTTGCTTCACTGTAATACATTGAATAACAGTATTTGCTTCATGCCTTTGTATCCCTACGAAAAGTCTTCATTGACTACGGACCTGTATATTCATTGCCCTGGTAACTTTTTTAATATCATCCGATATAATTAAAACCCAAGCAAACATTATCGAAAAGTGGCCTCACGTATCAAAAATTCGGGTAGTCGATTTTGATAATATCACTTTATTTATACTGCCAAATCAACAGGCCATGGCCCAATTACAGACAGACAGTTCCTATCTCGGTTCCTATCCTACAGTAAAATACACTACACAAAAAAAAGAAAAGAAAAATACAGTACACAGAAAGATTAAAATACACTCAAGTTTTGGGGAAAACAGTTGAGTAAAGATATAAAACCAAGACATCCATAACTGATTTTTTTGAAATATTAATATATGTACTACTCGAGAATATTAAGGAGATGGAGAATAGCCTTCAATTTCTACTAAATGTAATAATATCTATATCACAGGGCTGAAAGACTTCGGTCAATGGCCTTTTGGGGTATATCCCTAATAAAGATGTTCTCTCTCTCTCTCTATATATCACAGTTATATTCATTTACACAGCTCTTTGGCAATTTCCAAAGGGTGAGCAAGATTCAACATCAATGTAGAAGATAATACTATTTCTTCTCCGTAGTTTTACTTCAAGTACATGAATGTTTATATGACTAAGTAGATCAGGTACATTCAATTCATCACTGATTAATGTCTGAAACAAACAGTACATCATTGATATCTCTTCGGCCCAGCGAGCACAAACATCCCTGGGATGTTTTGGGATGTTTTGAAAATGTTGGCATGAATATGTTATTTTGAGACGTAGGTAATATGCACTGACCAAAGAGGTCTTTGAAGGATATTGAAGTATTGTTTTTGTTCTTCTGTGGCATTTCTTTGTTTGCCTACTGAGAGGTATCCCTGGGATGTTTTGGGATGTTTTAGAAATGTAGGCATGAGGATGTTTTTTTGAGGCGTAATATGCACTTCCCAAAGAGGTCTTAGAAGGATATTGAAAGTATTGTTTTTGTTCTTTTGTGCCCTTTCTTTGATTGCCCCACCACAACGTCACATGCTTACGTCACAATACGATGAATTCTGATTTGTTTCCGATTTTGTTCTTCTACTCGCAATTGGCATTCGCGTTGGCACATCACGCTGCTAACGAACAGAAAGGAATTTGGTGAAGTTTATTGTGTTAGAAGACCTATTTAGTTTGTAATAATGTAATATATAAAAGTACGAATTTATCAATACACAGCTTCTCCGCAGTTGCAAAATTATGCATTGTGGAGAACATTTCAAAAATTGGGAAACCTATTTCCAATTATTATATGTCTGTGTGTAGTAAGCACTACTCAGAAACCGATTAAGAAGGTAATTTCATATCAAGAAAATATTTTTATGTTCAATCTATTTTTAATGCATTTTTTTCATTCAAGGGAAATGGAATCCTAATGCAAAAGTTCATTTTGACAAAAGGCTTCAGAAAAGTACCTCGAAAATGTTTTTTTACAGCGATTTAATGTGCGCAAGACGAGTTGAAAATGTTTTGTTGTGTCCATGAAAAGGCTTTAAAAAGAACTAGGGAGAAGGTAGTTTTGTGACATATCACGTCGCAAGGACATCTCGATAATTGCCGCCTGCGGCGGACATTGGCTGTTCTATAATAGTTCTATTCATGTGTGAACAGAACATCGCAGTGGAGGTTCAATGTCTCGAAATCTCGTACTTTTAACATCTCTGAGATGTTTTTGTGCTCGCTGGGGGGACTCTAGTGTTCTTTGCTCAAATTCCAACAGTGAAGTTCTGTATGAGATCATAAAAGCAGATTCTTCATGTTTCCTGTAATGGAGGTTTCTCAGGTATTTCCTTTGTACTTTTTTTATCATATCGGAGTATACTCCGTGTGGGGATTCCATATAACTGAGGCATATTCTAGTTTAGGTCGTACAAAAGCATTGTGTAGAAATATTCCGGTTTTCCAGTTGAACTGATATGAATTTCTAAGCACAAAACTCCTTCACAATATTCTTGATATGAGAGGTAAAACTATTTTTTTTTTCGAAAACTACCCCTAGGTCTCTGAAATCTTGTACATTTTCTAGTCTACTTTTATTCACCCAGTACTCTGGATCATTTTATTATCATTTTTTAAATTTTTATAGGAAGCTGAATCCAAATCTAGAGTTATTCAACAAAAGTATCTGGTGCGTTTTGAGAAATTCGCGAAAAACAACTGAATTTTCGCATTTTTATGATTATTCGTTTATAATCTGAGAAATATGAATCGCCTAGATTCAAAACCCGAAAAATCCATCGAGGTCAAATTGTGGGAAATTGAGAGAAACTGGCCAACTGTCAAAATATTAATAAACAAAATGAATTCGTCGGGTTTTGAGAGATTTGTCTTCAAGATTTATAAAAGTAACATTTTTCCAACAAAGAGACATTTTTGGTTTCTGATTTTTGTCTCCACTACGAATATACAAAGTTTTTCTTAAGTACGTGTAGAAAATTCAGGAGCATGTTGCTGACGTTAAAATAAGAAGAAAAGTTCGTATAAACCTAGGTCCGAAAGTTACTCGTTTCTGAGATACAGAGTGTCAAAATAAAAGACTATAGGAGCGGAAATCTCAAAGAATCTAGGTAGATGTGGAGTATTTTGATGACAAAAAACGAAAATAAGGGTATTCCAAATAAATATGAATAAATTGAAAAATATCTCGATGAGGTTGAAGTATAATGTAAATAATTATTAGATGATTTATTTCGTTGATATTTTTGAATGACTGGATGAAGCGCCAGTTTTTACATTTCAGGAAATTGGTTCCATCTTTAGGTATATTTTATGCATGATACCTAATATTATGCTACATGACATATGAAACATTTTTAAATAATATATATTTTTCAATTTCAAGTACCTATACCATAGATTCAAGAGTCCCTTATGTTCCGTTTCCGATCTGTTCCGTTATGTGTGTCATTGATTCAGAAGGATTAATTATTGTGAAATTATATTTGGTAAAAAATCAGGGAGGGGGTAATCGCCCCCCCTACCCCCCTAGATGACGCCCATGTTTCAATATGGTTATTTCGAGAAACTTGGTCATGCATGTTTGAAGCCTGAAGCCCACTGAAAACTGAAAGGCCTCATAATGAGCTTAAAAGTTTCTTCACATATTAGTCTGAACATTTAGGGAGCGATAATTATTGAAGTTTCGGGTCAAATAGCTTCTGAAATTCAGTAACTTTGTAGGGTAACTCGTTGATTATTCAGCTTTTAGCAAGGTTCGTTTGATTCTCTCCGTTTGAAATACAATTATTTAGAAAAAGATATCCCAGAATCTTGAGGCTAGTTTTTCCACTTCTTGATGATTCTCAAGGCGTTAGGGATGTATAGGTATACCTAATTATTCGTGTAGATATATTGCTCTAGACTTCACACTTTCATCATCATTCTTGTTATTACCGTTCACTAGATTTCAATGCAAGCAAATCACAAGCATGCCTTTTCTCTAGGAAAGCCGATCTCACTGTGCCCAACATAAGCTTGTCAGGAGTGACCATACCTTTGAAGACATCCATTTCGATGTTTGGTATCACTATCAGCAATAACCTTTCTTGGCAAAATCACGTGAGATCAATTGCTAAAAGTGCATCCCAAAAACTTGGTTTTCTGTTTCGGGCCAGGAGCTATTTCACTTCCAGTCAGCTGCTTATGATCTATAAGGCACATATCCGAGCTGTCCTGGAATACTGTTCCAATATTTGGAGTGCAGCACCCAAACATACCCTGAAACTTTTGGATTCTGTCCAAAAAAAGGCAATTCGTCTAGTGGGTGATGCCTCGCTCACAAACTTACTCACTTTTCTGGAACACCATAGAAAAGTTGGCGATCTGGCTCTATTTTTTAGATATTTTCATGGACGATGCTCTTCTGAAATATCAACAATTGTTCCTCCCTTGGCAGTCCCCGCGAGATTAACCAGTCGAGTTGAGGCTTCGCACCCCTTCGTGGTCACTTTGGAGACCTGCAGACTCGTTCATCCAACGAACAGCGAGGCTCTGGAACACATTTCCAAGGGAGGTGTTCCCCGAGGAATATAACCTCCAGAAATTTAAGAGGAACACCAATTCCTACCTTATTTTCCTTGGTTCTCACGATGTTCTCTGAACATTACAGGATTTCCGTTTTCGTGGGAACCAGAACATAAAAAATTCTCGTGTGTGTTCAATACCGAAAGAAACTTTCGTCAGTCAAGAAAGATTAGTTTTGTTCTACTGAGGAAATGAGTCTGGTCGCTACCACCAATACAATAAATTTGTGACTGCTCCTCATTTTTTTTATATTCGTTTTTATCGTTATAATAAATAGCTATTAATGAATGGAATCGCTTTCCCAGATAGAGCGGAAGGTCGAAATTTGAAGTGTTGTTTTTTTTTATATTTGAATGCTATAGGGGTTGATGGAATTAGTATCAAGATGATTTTACACCGTCCTTTCATCCTACCCTACATCGAACATATTTTTAATTTTTGTATA